GAATTTGTCAGCTGATTTTCAAAGACTGAGAGACTCCACACATGACTAAAAAAATTCATTGATAAAACAGGTTTGTTCCTACAGTGTGTGGCATACAATTACAAATTGCAAAAACCAACACACCACACACAAACAGATTTCACTCACCAACATTCAAATGTCAAACGGGAARTCTCGCGAGACCTCTCGAGATCAAACGTGAGTTCAGAGTAAATAAAGATGGCCGACGAGGAAGAAGCAATAGCGATAGTTTGTGGACTATTTTTAACAGAGAAAAAAACAAAACACAGAGACGTCTCCGGTGTCCACCGGACTTTGTGTTGCACCATGGTAGTTGTTTGGTCTTCCGTATTTTATATTCTCCGCATTTCCGTCACCTCGCTTTCTGATCAGCTGCACGTCACATCCAACAGGCAGTATGCTCGTTTGAACACCGTACACGCTGGGATATCKGACCAAGACAATCCAACATATTCCCAATTTGAGGTTGGAACTTTTCCAAAGTCCTTCTGAGCTGTCTAGATTACTCAGAATACTCCACACACAGCAGGTAGATCTCCTAASATTATCATCAGCCATCATCAGAGCATCCTTAAGATTGTTGGAAGATCTGGCCAAAAATTGACGCAATTATCTCTCTGTTTGAACCTATTATTGTCCCGTTTTACAGTGTTTTGTGCAGAAATGTGTTGTCATTGCAGTGGAACCACCCCTGAATGAAAACAAAGGCGTTGAATCATTTCTAGAAATGCCATTGCGATGCACACTGACACAAACCACTTGTACATGGGCACTTTTTCTTTATGTCTTAACTGTGCAACTTTGATTCCCTGYGAACAGGACTCCTGGAAATAAGGGTTAAAAACAACTCCTTTTTTATTGACTTTTGATGAGTGTGTTTTCAAAAWAATCTCTCCTCCCAATGTTGATAATAAATCTGTATCTGTAGCCAGCCTGAATCTTCACAGATTTCTGCAAAGCCAGTGCATCACAGCAGTGTACTGTAAAATCTAATATTGATTTTTTTTTCTTTTTTCCCCCCCTCTTCCTTTTAACTTCTGTGTTATCGAACTGGAGGCATGCTGGCACCAAGATTATAGCAGCTCAGTCACTCTTCTGGGTGATAACAATACTGGCAAGAAACAAAAATGCAAAGAAAATGTTTAAAACCGTAAACAGTTACACAAAATGATGTGCTGTAGATGTGCATACAGCTAAATACTGTTTAATGGGAGTAGAAGATGAAAGGCTGAATGGGGAAAAAAATGGTTTCCAAACATTGAATAAGAGAGAAAGTTAGAAAAGGAAAAATAGTGTTTGGGCATTATAGCAAAATAAATGTAAAAACAATTAACTGTCAAGTGAAAGCTTGAATTAAGTGCTGACATTTGGGAGCTGGAAATTGTTTCTAAAGAAATAGACTTCAACTACAGGCAGAGCAAAACAAAGTTAAAAAAAATAAATAGATTCTAGCTGTGAKGGCTTATTACAAAAAGGTAAATGATAAATATAATGGGGGAAAAAATAASAAATGGGAGGAAAAAAGAGACAACACAAATTTAAGAGTGGAAACRGTGATGGGCGAAGAACATAATGAAGAGGAGGAGGAGAAACAGATGACCAGGAAGGAAAACTTGGGGGGAAAAAAGGAGCAAATCAAACAGGTGATGACAGGTAGGAGGAGGCATGAGGTGAGGAGGGACAAGACAGTAAAAGAAATGAGTGGGTATGGAGGGTTTTTTTTTTCTTTAAAGAGAAAGGCAGGATAGATGAAATATACGGTCATGGGGGAAAGGTTAGAGATGAACAGGACGWAGAGATGCAAAGAGAGAGGATGGGGAGGAACAGTTGGCCTCTCAGCAGTCAACACTAATGAAGAAGAATGAGGAATTTCAGCTGCGCGCTGGACCTGCTACTCACCACACACACACACACACACACACACACACACACACACAC